CAGGAAGCAGAGGTTCAGCGACGCGTTGAACAAGCCCTGGCCGCCAAGGCTCGCCGGGAAGGACTCCGAGATAGGCACCCGGGGACAGGCGACGTTACGGCTCCGCCGACACCCAGCTTCTCCCCGGAGTACCATCCAGTCACACCAGCCGCTTTTGGTACGGTATGTGAACGGGGTCAATGGAGCATACGGAGTGGTCAACGAACAGCGCAAGAGCAGCCATTCGCCAGCGATAGGATTCTTGCCTGTGCCCGCAGCACGGCTGCCGAAGCCTGGGAGTGGGTGAGCCGAACTCGCCCATACAGCTGACAACGCCCGGCCCCCGACGAGATCCGCGATGGGAAGTCCCTGACCCGCCAATAGTCGAGTGGTACGCAATCCAGCCGGCCCACCCACCATGTCGCCGGAAAGACCCGTCACCAAGGACAAGGATGCGATCTACAACATCCCCATCAAGGAGGGCACGGCTTCTCGCGAAAGGTTGGCCCCAGAAGGAATCAGTCCGCAAACGGCCAAAACATTGGGCAACACCAAGCTAGATGTATTGTCCCTACCAGGTAAGACACAGACCGGTGAACGCGACGATGTAACCAGCGAAATCAGAGATCTCTCTCTTCGCCGCCGTCATCGCCAAACTGTCGACGAAGAGGGTGCCCCCCGACCTCAAGTGGCAGCAGCTTCCAGAAACCAGTCTCAGCCGCAAGAACGACGAAGACCTACGGAACTCAAGCGAGATGTGGAAGAAGTGGAGGAACAACACTTTGCCGGTCCATCGAGCAAAACGCACCATCCTCGTCAGAACGACTACCCTCTGAGCTCGCCGACACCTGGAGTGCGAGGGATTTATGGCCACACTCAACCGCAAGGGAATCAAGTATACAAAGCCTTCCTTGACCATCTCATTCAGCTGTCGTCCGCCAAGATGGAACGCCACCACCACGGTCATCGAATACTATGTGAAGAAGTGGCGCATCATTCTGGCCAATTGCCATTCCCGTCTCCTAGCCCTATGCCAAATTTATGTCACCCTCCGCGATGATATGAAAGCGACTGGCTGCACCTAAGCTCACGGACAAGAAAGTGAACTCCTCCACTCCGCAGGAGTCTTGTATTTGGCGGCCTCAGCGGCTTCGCTCGTTGTGCTCCGGCTGCCTCGTGTTCACGTAGGAGCTTCTGGACGGCCATTCTCAGTGCTCGTTCTTTCTCATAGTTTGCTGCCGCTAGCCGCTTTTCTTCTTGGGCGACTTCCTCGCTTAGCTGCGTTCCTGGGCGGCCAGCTCCGAGATCCTTTCGGTGCTCTCTCTGCCCCGTTCAGCGATGCCTTCGGGATGTTTTCTTGGGGCAGCGAATCTTCTGATGACCCGGGATGGGGGTGCTGAAAGATCCGGCCGGTATCGCATCGAGAAGGTCCCGGCGAGGCGGAGGGGGCTTCTTCGGCTTCGAAGGAGATCGACCCTCCACGTCCTCTTGGTGCTTCCTCTCGAAAAAGCTCGTTTGGCGTCAGGCGATCCCATGTTCACGGTTTCCACCGTGATCTCCGGGAGAGCGTTTCGGCGGGTCCTTCATGGAGCGCGGCTTCGTCCTCAGCTCGCTCTTTTTGGCTTGAAAAAGAGCGGCGTTTCGTGGGGGGACAAAGGCGGTACTAGCGTATTCCGTCAAAGATTCTGTCATTGTCGTCTAAGCATACCCTTCAAAGAGTACCACCCTGTTGTGACGAGTAGCTCTCGGTGAGGCTCGGTTACACTTCGATACCTCACGGTCACGTGAAACAAACTAGACGGTCCCTTTCATGACGAATCGGGCTCGACAAAACATCTCCTTGCTCACCACTCGGCCGTGTGCAAAAACGCCGCCATCTCCGACACCCGACCCTAAGGAAGTCACACTGTGTGACCCGCCGCCTGGCGTTCATCAAACTCTAAGTCCATGCTTACTTTTTTTCAGAGTAAGGTTTGGCGAGAGAGGCGGTCACTGTCGGGCAGCAGATACTTTTTCAGGTTTGCGGACGCTCACACTAATTACCCCCAGTCAAAAAAGGAAAATTGGTGTCGGGCGGCTGCAACTTGGTTCAGAAAAAGTGAACCTGATTTGTAGCCGCCCGATTATAGTCCTTCTAGCTAGTCATCAACACCAACAGGCACACCACCTGTGCACCGACACTTCGGTCCACCACTCATCTTGGATGAGTGGCTCTCCCGGATTCCTGTCCGTCAGTCTCCCTTATGGTCGGCTCCCTGTTAACTCATACTCTCCGTTCTGTAGAATCTCTTCATTCCCTGTCTGGGAAGGTGGGCGTCACTCGGACTAAGAATCCATGTAGAGCTCTACTACTACCGGTGGCTATAGATACTTGTGACTCGCCACTCACTCTGGCTTTTTTTAAACACGGCCTGGGAACTCGGATGGATTGATGATTTGGTTCCGATCCAATCGAAGATGACCGGATCTTGGATGATAACCAAGTGCTGTAAAAAGCTGTCGGTCGGAACTAAGAATACAGGCATGCCGTACTGGCCAGTGGTTGGGAGCTCACGTACCGGTAGGTGTAGACAAACCATTTGGCCGTATTTTGGGATAAACCACTGACCCAGATCTATGCCAACACCTAATAATGCAATATTTACAGCCCTTCCTGACATCCTGCTATCTGGCCTTTTGCTAGCTAGAGTCTAGCTGGCTGCGACGGGGAGGTTGTGCTGAAGAAGCAACTCGTTGGAAGTCTCACAATTTTGTGCAAAGCAAAGGCTCACAAAACACAAAAGCAGCAAAAGCAAAGAGTGCAACAAGGATAAGCAAGTGGTAAGCGCAATCCAATCCAATGCAATAACGATGAGCGCGCTTCTGTTTGCTGCGCCTTTGTCTTCAGCCGTGATCCGGAAAACCCATGTTCCAACTCAACTCTTCTTTTCTCGCTTGCTCCTGTATACTGGCTGGCATGCAGCCCCCATACTACCGTATTTACCAACAAAACCCTCAAATTCAGAAATTTGACCATGAAGTTCTTCTTGACTACTTTCGCGGCTGTTGTCGGCCTTGCAGGCACTGTTGCTGGCAAGCAACTCAAAGTGACTGACAAAACGGATAGTTTTGAAGTGTGCGAGGCTAGCTGCAAAGGAGGCGATGTATGTTAACGTTTTTGTCTGCTTGAGAATGCAACTTACCTCAGGAGGAGGACTCTTGCAACGGGACCTAACTAACAAGCCAAATTGCTTTCTCTGCTAGTGTATTGGGGCGAGGATGTTTAAAGAAGGTACCAGGAGTAGTGCGACATGCTACTCGGGAAATGATTACATTTCTTGGCCAAAAACTTACGGTTTTGAAAACCATGGCAAAGTGCCTGGTTGCACCGGAGTAGCACAGTCCGACAAAAGATACTGTGTAGAGATTTGTGATGACCTCGTCTGGATAAAACAATGGTACCCCATGACGGAATCAAGTTACCAAAGCTCGTGGGAGTACTATGAATGCGATGGTCACAAGAGCAGTGGGGGCGCTAACGGTGATCGTGAGTGTCAAAGACGGGTCCCAACTTCTGAATCAATCATGCATCAGATTGACAACCTCTAATCCACTTTTGCTTCCCTGGTCCTTGCCACTGGCCTTTCCCAACAGCTCACTTCAAGACATTTGGCGCTGGGCAAACTTTTGACTTCCACGGAGGCTGGTAGGTGGCTAAATTTGCTCATACAATATATGCATGCCTGATGGTGATGTTGTCACATCTCTGCCTTGTACTCACTCTCTGCATTTGCATGTAGTGATCTAGTTTTGATTGAGAACAAAGATTTCCAAGGTGGGCTTGGCATGCGTGTCTACCTCCGTACCAAGGTCAAGACCTGGTGGTCATACATTGAATCTGCTGTCCTCGAGATTGGGGATCAGACATTGGAGGTAACCGGAGGACCAGAGAACAAGTACTGGGTCAACGGAGTAGAGGGCAATGTTGGACTTGAACGTGGCAGCAAGTTTGAGGCTGTGTTTGCAGATGGTCATGAACTCAAGTTCAAGTGGATCAATGATCACCAACGCCATTTCCACATCCATCTAGGTGCGATGGTAGCTAGTTTGAATCGGTACCAATGGCATTGCAAGTGCCCCATTTCCTCACATTCCATATTTTTTCCTCTATCTTCAAAGGTGGTGCCGACAGCTTGTCCATTGACACTTTCAAGGACTTTGTCCGTGTGGACATCTCTGCACTTGGAAGCAAGAGGTGGGGAAATTCTGTAGGAATGATGGGATCATTCCCCTCTGGTGTAATGCTTGGTCGAAATGGAACCGTCATTGAGGATGCTGATGAATTTGGCCAAGAATGGCAGGCACATGAAAACCTTTTCCATGATGTGAAGGGACCTATGTTCCCAGAAAAATGCCAGATGCCTACTGTGAGCGCTCAGAGGAAGTTGGCAGAATCCTCTATTGCTGTGGAGGAAGCAGAGATGGCATGTGCTGATGTTGCAGGACCTGACTTCGACCACTGGTAAGTGAAGCAACCAACAAAATACCATGATGATGGTCAAATGCTGCTCACCAATGACATTATCACATTTTCTGCGTCTTCCAGTGTGTTTGACGTGCTCGCTATGAGTGATTTGAATGTTGCAGGAGCTCACAGGAAGTTAGCCGAGCCTGAGGTTAATGTGGGCACTGCTCACAGAAAGCTGATGGAGACGAGCAGGAAGTTGGTGTCAGACGCCGATGCCAGGGATGCCTGCAAAGGTGCAATTGAATTTGACCAATGTGTCACGGATGTCAAGGCTCTGGATAACTTGGAACTTGCCCGGATTATCTTTGGGGTGCACTAGATCTTGTCTGCTCAGCTCCAATCTTCTCAATGGATGCACTTCTGACAACCCACGACCACTTCTTAGTAAGAGACATGAGAGTCCCCCAGCAATGATAACTACCTACATGACACCACCATCAAGAACTTAAAACTCACAAAAAGCAAAAGATGAATCCTCGGATCAACAAATCAAAAGAAAGAAAATACGTGTTTGCATATTCTAATAACCCAGGTAGTGGTTGACTAAATATAACGGACTCAATACAAAGCAAAGATCGACCGAAACTGCTATATGTAAATAGTGTGGATCTATGCCATTGAGCTAGCTAGCTATAGAGGTTTCCACATCAGCAAGGGAGCATTCAAACTCACCTGTGTGTTGGCCCCGGGTCAGTTTCAAGGGTTGGCAATCGAGGCCAGAATGATGGTCCATCGAAATTCTTAGTTGCCATCATCGCCCCCATGTTGGCAATGACAAAGCTTTCCACAAGCGTGCTGTTGGGTATTGACGAGGCCTTTACAAGGAATCCTCAATAGAAGCAACAGTGCACATGAATCGAATCGAATCGAATCGAATCGAATCACAGTAAAGTACCACCACCAACTTGATTGATGATTACTACATGTTATCAATTTTCAAGTCAATGCCACCCGGGACGTCAAAGCCAAACACTTTTCCATAAAACGCCAATTCACTATCGAGTGCATCTTGAATGTTTTCCGCCTTGCGAAACCCGTGTTGTTCTCCCTCGTACATTTTGAGACAGGTCGGGATTCCTTTTTGTAGCAGTGCCTGGTGCATGGTTTCGGCCTGATTGGGCGGTACAATCTTGTCTTCCATCCCCTGCAGTAACAAGATGGGACACGACAAGGTATCGACACTTTCAATGGGCGATCGTTGCTTGTAAATGGCCTCATCTTGCGGATATGGTCCGACGAGGCCATCCAAATACCGCGATTCGAACTTGTGCGTGTCTCCGGCCAATGCCGTGAGGTCTCCCACTCCATAGAGGGAACAGCCTGCTTTGAATACATCATTGCGAAACGCCAACGCCCCCAATGTGGTGTATCCTCCGGCACTGCCTCCATCAATGCACAATCGTTCTTTGTCGGCCAATTGTTGCTCTACCAAATGTTTGGCTCCGGCACAGACATCGTCAATATCGACAATACCCCAGGATTTGCGCAATCGACGACGATACTCGCGACCATATCCCGTACTACCGCCATAATCGACATCCAACACGGCAAATCCTCTCGATGTCCAATACTGAATGCCGGCATTAAAGGTGGTACTGGCACACGCCGTGGGTCCTCCATGCGCCTTGACCAATAATGGTGGTGCCGATTCCGTGGTACACGTGTAATTGCCATTGGTAGGTGGATAGTAATAGCCGTAGGCATTGCCCAACGTCGTGGCAAACGTGATTTGTTGCGGTGTGGAAATGACACTACTGGGAAATTGGAGCGACGAAGACGATGCCAACAGGACAGGTGGTTGTTGTTGTTGTGCGTCCGAAAGATCCCATTTATAGAGACAAGTGGGGGTACTGGGACTGCCTCCCAAGAAATACAAAGCGGTACCACTACCGGCCACGACACCTCCGAATTGCCGTGGCAATGTGGAATCTTCTGCACTGAATTCTTGTATCTGTGTGGCAGGTCCTGGTTCCGCGACGTTCGCGACAACCAAGATGGATATTCCTTGTTTCGTGTAAGTGGCGACCAAACGTCCGTCTTGTAGAAATGTGAATCCCTGTTGTCCCAACGACCATCCCGGTGCGGCACCTCCAAAATCAAACTCCATGGGCAAGACATTGACACTAGCAGGAGGCGTAGTACTAAAGTCTTGCGGCATCGTAGCCTTGTAAATGTTGTAGAATCCCGATTCATCGGAAATATAAAACAAGTCTCCCGTGTGAGGATGCCACAATGGCTGCAAGACGGACGTGTCTCCATCGACTCCGGCAATGACAGTGTGGGAATCCGTGTGGGCCATGCCATCCATCACAATATGTCTGGAGGCAGAGGAGAGTGTGACAACTTTGAGTTGTGTGGCATCCCACGGCATGTTGGGATGATTCCAGGTAATATAGGCCAGCTTTTGGGTCGCATCGGTAGTGGAGAGCCGTGGAGCGGCAAAAAAGTCATTTCCCGTGGCAACCACGACCGTCACCGTGTTGCTGCTGTCCTTACTAGCAGTAGTAGTAGTAGTAGTAGTATCAATGGCCACAATTTCATTGACGACATCCTTGGGAGCAGGATTGTTGGAATGATCTTCGCGGACACTAAAGATGGTTTTCCTCGTGGCATCGTAGACCCCATCGGCAAATCGATATCCCGTAGGCGTCATGGGTTCACTACTAGTACTACTGGAGCAAGTGTCTTTAGTAGTGACAGTCAATTTGTGGAGTTGCTGCGTGGTGAATTCCGAGAAAAAGAGGAGATTGTCGGCGCCAAACGTCACGGCGCCACCACCGTATTCGTGGACTCGTGTGCGAACGTTCGAGTCAGGTGGCGAAATGTCCTTCTTTTTGTTGTCGGACGACTCATCGTACTGACAGAGCACGTAACGACCGCCTTCCTGAGGGCGCATTTCGGTCCAGAACACTTTGTCCTCCTTACCATCATCGTCAATTACGACCTTTAACCCACCGAGACCCACACTGCCAGCCGTAATGGCTTTCGAGGTAATGGGGGATTCCCAGGAACCGTACGGTTTGTCACTCTTCTTCTCGCTCATCGTTCCTCCAACCAACGCTGCCGCTGCTCCTACCAAAAACGAGAGATGCATCGTCTATCTACCCGTAAAAGTATGATATGCTGGTGTGGTCTAAGCATGCAGCAATACAGCAACCGTTGAAGAAAGATCCAAAAGATCCAAAAGATTCATATGCCCAGGGGTCGTCTCCGTTTCCAGAAATAAGGTTGGGGATTACAAGTATTGAAACAGTATTCGCGCGCTCCGCGCGCTCATCCCTTTCTTGCTTCGCCACGAAACAGCTCCCTCGCTCATTCATGCGAAACTCGCTCATTCATGCGAAACTTGTGAGAAAAGCGAGGCGACTTTCATGTGCATGTACATGCGTTGACTGTATCCCGTCAATACAATACTAGTCAAATACGTAGACTTCTACAGAGGCCTCTAAGTATTGCACGCCGGGTATAATTCAAACCTCTGCCCCCATCGGTACCATTACCCCTAAAAGCAAGTCGTCTCCAGGAGACGAAATTCCGAAAGAAGCTCTGTAGGAAAGGTAGATTTGGTAAAAGCTTACCTTCACTTTTAAATCTCTCTAGAGTACCTTATTTACGGATAACCCCATATTTACCGGAACCACCAATATGTGTAGCGCTAACCCTAATGATTCCAAGAACCTTGGAGCGAGGCGACACTCACCCTCAGAAACCGGTAGTGGCAAGGTTTTTTGTTCTAACTGAGGCATAGAGGGGGTTGGGACAGCTCGCCAGCTGTTCGTTCAGTGTTCACTCGTCACATACTGTACCGAAACTGGGGTCCCCCCATTAATTTTGCCTCCTGTCCCTGTCTCGGGTCTTCTGTCTTTGAGAGCTTCGAGCACTCCTCCCAAGAAGTTTTCACGGGTTTAGAGTAGATTACTATCTACGGTACGGAAGCCAGCAGGGGGCAGGCCAAGTTTCCTTTGCTCACATACATCGACTGCACGATCCTCCCAATTTTAATTGTACAGTAGATCTTTAGGCCGGTCTCTACCGGAGCGACTAAAGTAGCGACTAAAGGAATCCTTTAGGTGGTTGTTTAGTTCAAGATTTAGTCATTATCCTTTAGTAATGGTGGTGTCTACCAGCAGATGACTAAATCTCGGACTAAACAATTTAGTCGAGTTTTTAGTCAAAACATGCTGTCTACCATGGCGACTAAACAAATTGACTAAACAATTCATGGGAACAATACTGGACTTAAAGGACTCAAAAAAGATTTAACAAAAGTGTTCACTTGGTGGGCTACCAATATTCTATCAGCATGGTGGATTTAAAGGACTCAAACAAAGACTTAACAGAAGTGATTACTTTTTGAGATAACAAGACTGAGATAACAAGACTCAAAACACACCATTGCGACCTCTTCGATTGTTCGATCGTTTGCACCTCTACTCCTTTGCACCTCTACTACCGGAATCATTCAGTCAAAGGCCGAGAAATGAAAGCCATCCCGCACTCCATACTCTGCAATGAGGGATGGCTTTCTATTCTCAACCGAAGACTGTCATTCGATCGTTCGATCGTTTGCACCTCCTCTTCGATCGATCGTTTGCACCTCCTCTTCGATCGTTCGATCGTTTGCACCTCTACTATCGGCCGATACTCCTCTTTGATTGTTCGATCGTTCGATCGTTTGCACCTCTACTATCGGCCGATACTCCTCATCGATCGTTCGATCGCACCTCTACTCTATCAGCTCTGTCGCAATGCTCTGATAGTGAGGCTGTGCAATGAGGCTGCTGTTCTTTTTTAAAGTGCTGTTCTTTTTTAAAGTGCTGTTCTTAAAGAGTTCTTAAAGAGGCTTTAGTCGTTACGCTCACTCACCGACTAACCAGCCTCCCGTTAGTCGGTGAACCAACCTTGTGACTAAAGGCTTTAGTCCTTTGGACGTTTAGTCCCTTGGGTAGACACCACCCCAAAAGACTAAACTATCAACTAAACCATGAAATATGGCTTAGTCGCTACTTTAGTCCCTCCGGTAGAGAGCGGCCTTAGAACTTGTTTGTTTGCATTCTATTTTCTATTGAGAGCTTTTTACCATCATCATGATCATCCATGCATTGGGTCCTTTCAGTCTTTCGGTAGACTATACACGTATCAATAAAACAATAACCACGACTTTTGATCACACTTACTCAGTTACTTGGTCAATGGTTTCCTTATTGATACCCCAAATTGTACCGGTACTACTCTAGCTAGAGGACAATAAATCAATAACCACAAACTGGGGCCCCCCATTAATTCTTTTGTCTCTTGCCGTACTGTAACACTATAGCTAGCTAGGTAGTACCCGTACCGGTACTAGCTAGCTACAGTACCAGCATGGCGGTCTTCGGGGATTTCCTTTCGTAATGGTCCCCCGCCCTGTAAAACGCTCTTTTTAGCCATTCCAGTCCACAGTGACACAATTTTATATCGATATACCACCCCGAATAACAGATTTATGGTACTTAGGACGACAGTTAACGTCTGGGATCGAGGCTAACTTGCTCGAATGACCCTTCCAACCACTGTAAAATGAGTGTCTTAGGGGCCGGTCATTTTTTCTCCTGAAAGTTGAAGTGTCGAGATTTCGCGACATTCCCTAGTCTTGGACGTCTGAGCATTTCAATGGTCAGAAGAAAAAAATAGGAAAAGATATAACATTAGAATCGTTTCTAAGTACAAGTTATTTAACTACGAGGTCCCTACACATAGAAACTGGCCTCTTCGGGCTTGGTCTTTTCCTTTCATGATACAGTCCAGAGGCTCTTCCACAGTCCTCCGGACACTTTCGACCAACTAGTATGGGACAAACAGTAGTCAGAAATACTCCAAGAAAGATTTTATCGATGGTTGCAATGCCATCTCTCATCATTAGACATCGACACGGTAAGTCGCCTCAGTGCTTGGTCCACTGTTCTCTCCGTTCTCTTTGTTGTTGTCTTGTCCAAGCTGTGTCATACCACCGTTAAAAGCACCTGCTGTAGTGGTCTTGACCGGCATTGATTGGGTTAGTTGAGCCCCCTGGAAAGGAACAACCTCAGATACCCTCTTAAACGAAAAGGCAGGTGGGGCGTACGGGGCACTCGCTGCTGGAGCAGAATACGGGGCAACAGAAGGGGGAGCTTTCTGAAAGGGAGTACCAGCGACACCAGCATTCCTAGAGTACTGGTTGACTGTCATGGAAACATACCGATTGCCACCAGCAGCACCACCACTACCACCAGTGGAGTTTCTGCGGCGTTCCTGTTCGCGCTGGTTGCGAGTGTAGGTCCCAGTGCCATCTTGTGAGCTCCCTTCAGAGATGGAGCTGGGTGGGCCCGACTTGCCTCCTTTGCCACTGTGGTCCGGGCACTTGGCTTGGATACCTTGAACCATCTCAAGAAGCCAATCGATTTGGCCGTCCATGTGGTTGAGGATACCGTCCTGGGAATCCATCCTTTCCAGAACATGTTCAGTGGAGGTGAGGGAGCCAGCATTGGTTGGAAGGCTGTCACGGCTGCGTCCACTTGATGTTGAAGTGGAAGTTGTTGTTGTAGAAGCGTCCATGCTGTTACACTTCTGTGTTGTGTGCCTCTTTAAGTCTGTAGTTGAATCCTTCATCTTTGTCATCACTCGAGTCTCCATACGATCAATCCTAGTTTCCACCGTCATAGTCACCGTGTTGAGTGCTTCTCCGACATCACGTAAGGCACGGCTTGTCTTATTGACAATGTCTGTTGAAGTATTGCTTGGAACAGCCCCCAGCATTTTCATCGCTTCTTCAAGCTTCTTGTTCATCTTGGACACTTCTCCATTCATCCTGGATACTTCGCTAGAAACCTTCGATAGCTCGCGACTGGTGCCAGTATGGGCATCGAGCATCTGTCTCCAAGCCAGTCCAGGGACGTTTACTGTGATCTTCTTGCGAGCCTTCTCAGCTCTCTCAGACATTTTGCGATGCCTGAACTTATCAGACGGCCTGCTGAAAATGAGATGCTGTAAAACACTGTCGTCGGAATCAGAATCGGAAGAGTCCTCTTGAAGAGCCTTCACAGCATTGTTCTTCTTCTTGGGATCGTTTGCTTTGAAATCCACCAGCATGGGTTTTTTGCTCTTGACCTTGACAGGCTGGTATCCTTTGGGAGGAGCCACAATTTCCACTTCAGAGTCGTCGTCGGTGGACTCCTGTTTCTTTTCAACCGGTTCCTTCTTGCTGGGTGTCTTGCTCTTGTTGATGCTCTTGCTGAGGGTCTTGCTCTTGTTGACGCTCTTGACAACAGGACGCTTCTTGCTCTCGGACTTGTTCTTGTGGGCAGAGTTCTTCCAGGAGTGCTCTTGGGGCTTACCAAATCGAGGGGCAGGTGTCTCCATCTTCCTGTCCCAGGAAACAGATTGCATTGGTTTCTTCTTGACCGCTGGGGCATCTTCGTCCTGAGTGAATGCACTGGAGAACTTGCGTTTTTTCTTGGTCTTCTTGGTGGTGGGAGGGGTCCACTTCTTATCTATCTTCTCTTCCTTATCGCTCTTGTCATCCTCGTCAGAGGAGGAGGAGGAGGAGGAAGGGGGAGTGGGGATCCAAAATTCTCCCTTGCTGTTGCCCATCACGGATGTGGGCTTCTTGTTGGACGTCCTGGCAGTGGAGACACTGGGGCTGTTTTCTTCCTCACTGTCTTGAGTGAGATAATCAGCATCGTTCTTGAGAGACATGTTGGACCGGAGCTGTTTTGCAAAAGCCCAGGGCTGGATTGTGAGAGCATTGATAGAGGGCAACAATCAACCAAAACAAAGCCGAATGGAGATGGCAGTCAGTGCCGGCGCTGCGGAGTACATCGGCTACCCACAACCTACACATTCCCGTTGAGAGAGATCGCTGAGATGCTGGGAAGGGTATTCGTGAAGCCCCTTTTGCTACGGCATGTACGTGCTTTCTACTGCTGGAGGGCTGTGTTGGAGGGAGGTCGGAGCTTCCTTGGAGGCAGTTCGGTTGTTGATGACAGCAACGGCTAGTTGGAACTCCCACTGTTTTGATGAGAGTGCACGGTGCCTTGGAGGGAGCCTCGGAGATGGTGGGGTCTGGTCTGGCTTGTTTGCTGTTGGCCCCTACCATTGTTGCTGTAGAGCTTAAGAGAAGGGGAGGACGAGCCGCAACTACTGCTAAAGATAGACTATTAAGACTAGTAATAAAGATCCGGTCTTGCACCATAGGTAATCCTATTATTGTTACTCTATAGCTGTCTCTTTGTAGCTACTCATGATCACTGCGTGCATGTACTGAAAGTGGTCGTGTTGCATGATCATGCAGAGCAATGACGGTACTGCTGTACGTTGTTCCGTGGCAGTGCAAAAAGCATTCTTGCAAGAGAACATAACTCTGAGCATTCTTCGCTCTTGTTCCAATCATCTCTATCGGAGCAACAAACATTATGGCAGACCCCTTTGAGACCATGATGGGCGAAAGCCCATCAAAAGACTATATGAGAGTACTAACAAACACCAACAGAGTGCAGGGTATTCCTACTCATGAAGTAATGAACTTTTTATTCCGTACTGAACAGTCCACTGCGCAGTTTCTCATTGATGAGGGCGTCATTACAGTCCCCGTGTTTTGTCCTCAATGTGATTCTCCCCTAGTCAAACCTAATGCAAAGCAGATAGTAAGATGCCGATGCAAGAAGTGCAAACGAGAGAATGGGAAGGAGTGGTCCCAGTCTATTTACCACGGCACGTTTTTTGCTGAGCACCGTGGTGGAAAGAGACACCTGATGCTGTTTCTTTACCATTGGTTGAATGGTGCGACATCTAAGCAACTAGGAATCTACACTGGATGGGGGACCAACAAAGTTAAACTATGGGTTAGCTACGTCCATCAGCTGATCTGTGCCATGGTTCTAAATGAACAGGGGAAGATTGGAGGCGACGGCGTTGTGGTTGAGATAGATGAGAGCAAGTTTGGCAAGAGGAAGCACCACCGTGGGCACAGAGTGGAAGGAGTGTGGGTGTTCGGAGGTGTGGAGCTAACTGATGAAAGGAAGATGTTTGCAGTTACCGTGGAAAAGAGGGATACAGACACCCTCATCCCATTGATCCTGAAATTCATCAAGCCAGGGTCAATCATCAGGAGCGACCACTGGCCTGTCTACTTTGGAATTGAAGACCTTGAGATGGACCTTGGAGATGGTTTGTCCCTTCCACTGTATGAGTGGGAGGGAGTTAATCACTCGCTGCACTTCAAGGACCCAGAGACTGGGGTAAGTACTGTTTTTGCGTGGATATGACATTGATTGATTGATTGCTGTGCAGCGATCCCGGCAACCTCACCAACTCACTCTGCAATTGAAGGTGCACACCAACACTATTGAGGGCACCTGGAATGGTGTCAAAAGGTCCATCCCTGTCCGTCGCAGGACCAAGAAGCAGGTAAGTGCCGGAAAACTTTGCAAATTCGTTAGTACAAATCACTACTGCCCCCGCTGCCGTCCAAGTCTAATCCGTGTCTTTCCTGTACGCCCCCAGGTTCAAGGCTGCCTCTTTGAGTTCATTTGGAAGCGCCGCAATGAAGGGAATCTCTGGAATGGCCTCTTGGCAGCTCTCAGAGACGTCAAGTATGACTACTAGTGTAGTGTAATCTAGTGGTTTTCTTAAAACGTAGTCTAGCTAGTGTTCTATTTTGCTCGAAATGTGAGAGTTTTTGTGGGCTTTTCACTAGTGTACTTCTTTAATGAGATACCCATTCACAGATAACCGAAAGGGGAGCTGCCCTCTAACAAATCTGTGATAGAAGTGTGAGCAACCATCGATGTAAAACTCTTTGTTGCATTTCTCGAGTGTCTACTGTGAGATTTGTGTAGTGCATCCTTTTTACACGGTTTTGCGACTGACATTGAGAATGACTTTACAAAGCAGGGCAGGTTTTTATATCGTATTCGTATGAATATTTATATAAAAATCCAACTGACGTGGTCAGTCAACCGGGATTTGACCGGGACTGGTAGAAAAGCGTTTTACAAGGGCGGGGGACCATTATGAAAGTTTACCCGTCTTCGGTCTTTGGCCTGCGAGCTCGGAGCTTCGAGCACGAGCTGGCTTCGAGCAAGAGCTTCGAGCTTCGAGCACGAGTTTCCTTTACTCGCAAAGACTGCACGACCTTCCTCGGGATTCCAATTTTAACTGTTTGTTTCGAAAATGACCTGTGGTAGCGATTTATGACTATCCAGTTACCAGATTACCAGATTACTAAAATCAACCACAACCACAACAACCAAGTAGTAACACAACACTATAGCAACCTCTTTATCAACACCACCATCAGCCTTTTTCGGCTTATCAGGCGTGGAAGCTACTACCAACGATCGGTCGTTAACCTGAAGAAGAAGAGCCATTCGTTCGTTCGTTCGAAGCTACCGTTCGAAGCTACCGTTCGAAGCAACGAACGAACGCCATTGTCGAAGCTACCTTTCGGTTCGACGCGACGCTACCGTTCGAGCGCCATTGTCGTTCGTTTGTCGTGATCGAGAAGAGAGGAGAAGAAGAGATAAGAAGAAGACCGATCGTTGCACAAGAAGAAGAAGCGGTAGCAGCGCCATTGTCGCTACCATCCGTCGAGAAGAAGATACCGTTCGTTCGAAGCTACCATTCGAAGCAACTGCTACCAAGCTACCGTTCGAACGACGACGAGAAGAAGACGACGCGACGCTACTGTCGTTCGCTTGTCGAGAAGAAAGAAGAAGAAGAAGAAGAAGGAGCCGGTTAAACGGTTCATTCGTTCGTTCACTCGAAGCAGCGCCATTGTCGCCGATTCGAGGCTACCGTTTCGGAGCTACAGTTCGAACAAAGAAGAGATCCTCCTTGCCAGTGTCATCGGCAGAGGAACAAGAGAAGAAGAGAAGACCTCCAAGCGGCATAGCAACAGAAGACCTCTCAAGGAGAAGGGGCTCTCTCAAGTGGAGCGAGAGATAGAGACTTCCAAGTGGGAAGCAGAGGTTTGGACTTGGAATATTGATCCCTCCAGTCTGGATCAATTCCTGCCTCATTGTCACCAAAGAAATCGATTGAGCCAAAGGAGAGGGACGCCTGATCCAAGAGTTTTGGCCTAGACTGCCACAGACTGGGTGTGCAGAGCTCATTCCGTGGAATACAGCCTTACTTGTCTGGGTGTGTACAGTTTGCTGTTGGAATAGGAGCAGAGAAGAAGACCCAACAACTGTTGCCCATCCAAGTGATACCGCAAGAGAAGAAATAATTGGAGGCGAATATGGCAGGAATCTTGCAGCCATGAACAACTATCTACAGAAATACCATCGGTATTGCCGAATTAGCCACGAGGACAGCATTGAATGATCAAGGATTGGAGGCCTTCGTCTCACTCGATACCTTTACCGATGCTGATATCAAGAGCATCTGCGAGAACGTGAGGAAACCAGGTGGTACCATTCCCAATCCAGCCATTGCGGCTGCAGCCACTGCCGAAGCTGCCGCAGCAGTTCAGCCCAGAGAAGTTCCCAACCGTGGACGACAGCTGGGATTTGTCTTTGAGAAGCGACTCAGACAACTACGGTTCTACAAGTTTCATATGACACGAATCCAGCGTGAGTTCACTCCCAACCAAGCCAGTTTGGCGAGATTGAATAGAGTTTGGGCTTTATACGAGTCCGAACGAGAAGAGATCGATGTTGCGGATCCTCCCAACTCTTGAAGGTCGAGATGTCCGACGGTTCTGGAGTCTATTGACAATGTTCTGAATGTCAAGCGAGGCGTTTGCGGTGCCCCTCTGGCTTATGTTACGAGATCCAAAGTCACTTTGCCAGGAGCACTTGATACCGACACCGCAGATGAGGCTGACCCAGGTTTTGGCCTTCCATCGCATCCTGAAGAATTGGTCGAAGAACAAACATGCCGGACTCATTTCTACAAACATCAGGCTGTTTGGGCCATCATTGGTCGGTTACTCACGGTGACCTGGTTGGACATGGGTCCAACGTTGTGCAGCGCAACAGAACGGTCGAGCAGCTTACTTGGCATGAAGGTTCACTATCTTGGTGATTCGTTCCAGGCTCGTACAAGGCATTCGCGGATAGAGCCATTGAAACTACTTTCTTTGATGGGAAGTCCCGCAACTTCACTTTTGAGCGCTACTGTGAAAGCTTACCAAGGCCTTCACCGATCTTGGAAACCGCTGGTGAAACCTTTACTGAGAGCCGCAAGATTCGCAAGCTTCTGTCCGGCATTACAGACCCAAACCTCAAGACCGCCAAGTCCGTCATTCAAGCAACTCCGCATCTACGCGAGAGTTTCCAGGAGGCTATGAATTACTTAGCCGAGCAACTTGATGTCGCTGAACCCACTCGACCCACAAGAAATATTTCATCTGTGTCTGGCCGTGGTCGAGGCGGTGGTGGAAGAGGACGAGGACGTGGCGGTGGTAGATCCCAAGGCCGAGGCTTGGAAGAGGCCGAGGCAGGGGACGAGGCCGTGGTAGAGGCCATGAAGGCCGGGGTTTTGACCCCAATAACCCAGGAAGATATTACCATCCCGATGAGTGGGCTCAGCTCACATCGGCGCAGCAGCAACAGGCTAGGGACGCCCGCGATGGTGACAAGCGGAAGATTGCCGAGCTGCAGACACAGTTGTCAGATACCCAGTCCCAAGTCTCGGAATTGCAAGCCGAGAAGCGATCCCGGACTGATGTCCTGGTGGATCTAGCGTAGGCAATGCCATGAATCGGCGAGCATGAGTCTTGCCGTTCGCACTCTGCGATCCGTTGCTACTCATTTGCCATCATCTCGGATTGAGCTTGACAGCCATGCCGATACATGTTCCTTTGGGGAAAGTGCTTACGTGGTACATGACACGGGAGAGACTATATCCGTCGAAGGGTTTTCAACTGATCTTGGAACCATACACGAAGTACCAATTGTAACTGTGGCTGTGGCTTATGACGACCCACTCACATCTCAAATTTATATTTTATTCTTTCATCAATTCTTTGCTTATCAAGTCATTACAGAACAATCTCATTTGTCCAGCTCAGCTGCGACATCACCAGTTAGTTGTCAACGATGTGCCACTGTTGCACCTACCGTTTGAAGACAGAACCAATAAATCCCACTCCATCATTTGTGGTGACCTACGAATCCCACTCCACACTGGACGGTGTTATCTCATACTTCCAGGTTCGGAAGCCCACTGCCCATGAAGTCAATTCTCCAGATCACTTCGTTCACGTTCACATGACATCCGAATCTCCTTGGAACCCTCAAGATCCCCAGTCGGCTGACCTCGAGTCCTCTCTCAGAGCCGCTTTGGATTCGGACATGCAAGTGAAAGGGGACGGAATAGGAGAATTCAGTCGATCAGGTAATTCTGGAATCAAGATCATCCGTTGCAATTGACGTCAACAGTCTTGGCCAGCCCTTCAGGCCCAGATCTCTGCTACCAAGACGAAACCCCTACCAGGAAGGGAGCCGTGTCAGCGGAAGCACTTGCCAAGCGGTGGAATATTGGGTTGGAAGCAGCCAAGAAAACAATCGCGAACACAATCAGCGAGCGGTTCGTGATTCACCACCGAGTGGAGGACGGAGGTTGAAGCCATTGGCGTATCACTCAGATATCCTCGGCTCACGTTGAAATGTATAACCGACACTGTTTACGGCAAGGTTACTTCCCTCCTGGGAAACAAGTGTGCCGGGTCTCTGCACACCGTTCATTGGTGCATGTTGACCCGATGAAGACCAAGTCGGAGGCTCACTTGACCTTAGATTCACTTTTCCAGAAGATTGGAATACCAAGAGTTCTGATCCCAGACAACGCGAAGGAGCTTACCATGGGAGAGTTTCGACGAAAGGCACAACGAGTCCAGTGCCCTATCCATCCAGTTGAGGCTTACACACCCAACCAGAACTTCGCGGAAGACCTAATCCGAGAGCTGAAGAGAACTTACAGAAGAACAATGACGACTACTGACAGCTTGGAATGCCTTTGGGACATGTGTTTCGTCTTCTGCGGCTGACTCGCAGTCATACCGCATTACCGATCCGAGAGTTGGATGGTCAAGTTCCCGCTACTTCTTTTGACAGGGGACACTGCTGACATCTCACATATTTGTGAGTTTGGATGGTATGATTGGGTTTGGTACCTTTCTCCTGAGAGACAGGGCGAGTCAATGGAAAGGAAGCGCCTTGGTCGCTACTGTGGTCCCAGCACTGACATTGGGACGCTATGTGTGCCCGAATCCTCACCGAGAAGGGCCAGTTGGTCTCTAGGACATCTGTCATCCCCTTATCAGACCAGGAGAAGCTGAGCCCGG